GTAGTAGTAGTAGTAGTAGTAGTAGTAGTAGTAGTAGTAGTAGTAGTAGTAGTAGTAGTAGTAGTAGTAGTAGTAGTAGTAGTAGTAGTAGTAGTCTTAGTTCTTCCAGCATGAATGGCAAGACTAAAGCAAAGACAGCAAAAGGAAAAGGTGTAGGTGGTGCGAGACAGCGTTATAGAATATAGTTTAAGTTTTAGTAAGTTTTTTTTTACGGGCTCGAAACTGCATAAGGTCATATGAGTGCCACGGGGGCATGTCAACTGAAAAGTCCAAGCGGGAAATCAGGCTTACTCTGCTCACCTCTCTAGCCTAAACAGCACAAAGTCTGCTTCGACTATCAAGGCACTCTGGAAATAGCAGTTCACAAGAGAATGACAAACAAATGAAAGAAGTAGACCAAAAAATGACTATTGTAAGGATTAGGAAAGAAGAAGCAGTAGTTCCCCCTACGTCGTTCCGGCACAGTATGAGCTTGGCATTGATAAATCAACCCATTTACACTTCTACAGTGCTTACAAACATGTTAATATCCTCCCTTTGGGAATGGCAAAACATTCCATTCAGTAGCACTGCACTGGAGGGGGGGGGGGGTAGTATGCATTTAACACCCTTTAAAACAACTTTAAAATACCGGCATCCCATGTTTGCTTTTATGCTTTCATCTCCACCAGGATCCATCCAAGTTGAAGGAAAGGCTAGATACGTGGACCTAATCACTAACCTAATGGGTTCGATTTGGAAAGAAAATGTAATGACCAATGGGTAAAAAGACACATCATGTACCGAAATATAAGATAACAGTTGCGTAACTTATAAGTAGTGCCCAAATATCACTTACGTATAAGAACTGCCATCACTATGAAGAGGGTAGTGGCTTTTGTACTCTGGACTCTTCATTTATCATCATCATCATCATCATCATCATCATCATCATCATCATCATCATCATCATCATCATCATCATCATCATCATCCTCATCATCATCATCATCATCATCATCATCATCATCATCATCATCATCATCATCATCATCATCATCATCATCATCACCATCATCATCATCATCATCATCATCATCATCATCATCATCATCATCATCATCATCATCATT